GTGTTTGGAACAGTTTCCATGAGCCAAGCACACAAAAACTGTCAAACCTGTAAATGATCAAAATGTTTGAAGATGTTTGTTCTGCACCATCTGCAGGTCAGCAAAGTTCACTGAAGCACTGACCATGGTAACTAAATCCATCCACTCTCTTCCACTTACCCTTCTGGGGAGACACGGGGGGCTGGAGCCTGTCCCAGCTACATTGTGACTTATTTGAACAAACTTTAACATCGTCTTGAGTGTTACTTCTACTACAGTGAATCCACTCAGAGGTTTAAACCCACCTATTCAAATCAAATTTTAACTATTTATTTATTCTATAATAGAAGACCACAAAAATTTGGTTTAATTATTTATTCAAGTTTCCAGCAAAATATTTGCTACTGTAGCCTTTTCTCACACACCACATGTTTCTAAGAAGGCAGTGCCAAACTGAATCAGTTGTATCAAATACAGGGTTACAGCTGAGAGCACACATCAGCAAATAAATGCATGAGCGATTCAACAGCTACATTTATGCCGAATTTGCTGAATAAATAGTCCAATCAGCAAATTTCCTCCAAGATTAAACTTGTCTATGGTGAGCTTAGTCCAAGACAAAAGCTGTCCAACATGGAGTGGCTGTAGCTCAGGAGTAGGGCAGAAGGTTGGTGGTTCGATTCCTGGCTGCTCCAGGCTTGCCAAATATCTTTGGGTAGGATACTAACCCTGGAGTTGCTCTCTCATCATGTGTAATTGGTAGCATTTGTGAAGAAGTAAGTGTTGGAGTGAATTATACGAGTCATTTAAAGCACTTTGAGTGCTCAGATAGAGCAGGAAAATGAACCAGTCCATTTACCAACATAAAGGAATAGCTGTGTGCTTAACCCAAATGTGTTATAATACATAAATGAAATATATACTGAAGTCAGTTTTATTCACATAGTGCCAAATCACAACAGCGGTCGCCTCAAGGCCCTTTATATTGTAAAGACCCTACAATAATAGAGAGAAAGCCCCAACAATCAAACAACCCCTGGCAACAATGTGCAGGCTGACTCAAACATGGGTTTATTCATCATAAACTAAGGCAGCTTAGTGATGGTCAAGTTGGTGCAGGACCAGATATTTCCTCCACAGATTCTCTCTGGGATAATGCTCTTTTAGGAAAAACACCAGGACTTCTAGGCAGAGGAGAAAACAAGTAGGTTGCAGGGACTGAGAAAAACAGGATGATGGGCCGTTTGAAGCTGAAGCTTTAGCGTGGTGCTTTGGAGGGACTGTGTTGAGGCTTTGTTTATCTGGCTAGAGTCAAGTGATCAGTGACGTCTGAAGCTTCATTCGGTTCATCACTGTTTCAATACCTGATTCAATGGTTTCTAAGGGACTGGAGTGTTTGCAGGATTTGTAGTTTATTTTTTATGTGTGAGAGAGAGTGAACCAGTGTGTGACATAAAAAGACATGGAGCCAGCAGTGAACCAACAGCTCCAGCCCCAGGTCAAAAACATACACAAGAAATACCCTAAATAATATATTATATATTGGTGTATGTCCACTGGTTGATTACAAAAGCAAGCATACGCCCAACCTATTGTAAGAGTTTGTTGTCCGTGTAGGTTCTCAGGGTTGACCTGTTTAAGTTTCTTGAAGACGTTTCATCTGAGAAGCGTCTTCAGAGTTAATGGTGGAGAGTCCCAGATTATAGGATAAGAGTGTGTTGTACATTATTATTTACAATGTTTGTTTTTAATCTATGACTATCACAAATAAAGAGAGACCACACCATGTTTAAACAAGGAAAGTTTATTCATGTAAATGACGTATCAAGCAAATAGATATAACATTTTACACAAAAAAACCCATGTTCAAAGCACCACAACTGTAGCCCGATATCACACAAAACTGCCACATGACATTAAACAGAAGCTGTCAGTTCAGCTCTGCAGAGTGAATAATCATAACCAAGCAGTTCATTTCAAGTTGCAGAGTCAAACTATGCACTTCATATTTTTGGTAACCAGATGGCACCAAAGAGGATTGCGTTAAGAAACTTCAAGTAATAAACCTTTCAGTGCTAAAGAAAGTTTCATTTGGCCAACACTACAGGATCAGAATTTCTACGTGACAAGCTGGTTTCACTAACATGGTTAATTCAACGCTCGGGTAGTATTAACAAAGGGCGGGAATCCAGAAGGGAGGTTCTAGAAGTGCAGCCTTGTTGGGGATGATGGGAGGAAGATGGAATAAAAGACAAACTGTAGAAGAGACCCAGAGTTTAATAATAATTAATTCAGGTCACCTGATCCAGCCCTAACTATACACTTTATGAAAAAGGAAAGTTTGAAGCCTAATTTTGAAAGTAGAGAGGATGTCTGTCTCTTAAACTGGGAGCTGGTTCCATAGAGGAGGGACCTGAAAGCCAAAGGCTCTCCCAACCAATCTATTTAAATTTCATATGAACAACAAGTAAGCCTGCAGTTGCTGCTATAAGGTCTTTAAGATAAGATGGAGCCTGATTATTCAAGACTTTACAATGGAAGAAAGGATTTTAAATTTAACAGGAAGCCAATGAACAGAAGCCAATATCAGAGAAATATCTCTTTCTAGTCCCTGTCAGGACTCTTGCTGCAGCATTTTGGATTAACGGAATGCTTTGCAGTGAGTTTTTAGGACATTCTAATAATAATAAATTACAGTAGTCCAGCCTAGAAGCAATAAATGCATGAACTAGTTTTTTAACATCACTCACATCACAGACTAGATGTTTCTAATTTTAGAGATTGATGAAAACGTGCTAGAACAGTTATGCAGTAGTTGAATTCTGTAAGTCCGTTGTGCCATACCACATATGATTAACCAGCTAAACACAGCACACACACACCTGTCATATGCATATTGGGGTGGCTGGCTTCCCCTAGTCTGCATGCCAAAACCCCCAAATTGCGCTGCGATGCGGAGTTTGAATGTTAGTTAGAAAGCACTAAGAAAATGTGCTTGTGCGAATGGGTGAATGCACAAGTTCTGTAAAGTGCTTTGAGAGTAGAAAAGCGCTATATAAGAACCAGTCCATTTACCATATGCACGTTCACCACCACTAGTTTATCTGTTTAAACAACTCCTTATATGGGGGAGGGATTTCTTTTGTTGTGTCTTATAAGGGGGACACAATAAGAGGGTGTAAGTGTATAAAGAGGGATGGACAGACTTCCTCGATTTGGTTTCTGCATTCCCAGCGTTACTGGAGGCCAGGGTAATGCCATCAGAGTAAGAATCTGTTTAGACACCATGTTTCTAAAGTTTGTACGGCTAACTACAATAGCCTCAGTTTGAACTGAATTTACAAGCAGAAAGTTAGCGGCCATCCAGGTCTTTATGGCATTCCTGCAGTTTAACTAATTGGTGTGTGTTATCTGGCTTCATGGATAGAGCTGAGTGTCATCTGCACAGCAGTAAAAATGTATGCTATGTCTTCTAATGATGCTGCCCAAGGGAAGCATGTATAATGTAAACAGAATTGGTCCTAGCACTGAACCCTGTGGAACTCCATAATTAAAGTTTGTATCATGTAAATGGGGAGTATTTAAATTTAAGCATATTACACACATGTGATGATAAAATATCTTTAAATAATGTTAAGTGTTTTATTCTTACAGTTTTATAGCATGCTTTTATTGTGACGTTTGTTTGACTTGTTTCCCGTGTCGTGCCAAGGTAGGTATCCTCGACAGCATGTGGTTCCCCTGTGTCAGGAGCACGCACTGGGCTCTCCAAATCACGACACTTCTTATAATGACTTATAATGACTCCTGAAACTTTGGATGTCTTAGCCCTTTATACAGTAAAGTTACAGGAGGATACAAATAATTAATGGGCAAAATGTCATCAGTTTGTTGAAATAATCCAGTCCAATAACGCATGAGAAGAATACATGTATCATTTTCTGTTTGTAACCCACAAACTGAATGGCAATGTGACAACACTCAAACCTCATAGTAGGGGCTGGATCAAGTGACTTTGACTACACTACTATTGGCCAAGTTACAACAGGTTTAGGCTGATGGGGACTGTTTTCTTTTTTTTTTTTCACTTGTGGCTTTTCAAAGCCTGGTTCTCCCAGTATTGTGGTGTCTTTACTCTAAAGTTCCATGTTGGTGGGGATTAGAGATATTAAGAATTTGAATGGAATCAAACTGAATAAAAGTGAAGCCCTGAAATGTGCACTATTACAAAAATCGTTCCTTGGTTGAGAAAAAATAACCTGTCAACACTCTGATGGTAGCAGGCATATCACTGTCTACAATGAAGAGAGGTTTAATGAATGCTGACAACAAGGTGCAAACCGCTGATTATACTCAGTTTGAGGAAAGCCAGAGTAGAAGAAAACATCGAAAAGAGCCTCTGGAGAGAGATGAAACCAAGGATAACTCATACCAAAATACTGGGGAGATGAGTATTGTCAAGGAAAGGGAATGACTCCTAATCTGAAGGACAAACATCAACTATCATAAATGGTGGTGGGAGTATTACGGCATGTGTAGTTGAGGGTTCTGCACTCTTCCGGATACAGCAGGAGGCGCTTTTAAGAGTTCTAGCTCCTGACACTCCTGTGCAGATAGAACACCTGGTTATAACTTCAGCTTGGCCTCAAAGAAAGCACACTGTGTTTAATCACAAATGTATCAGTAAGACTTGCAGCTCTTTATTTATCCACCGAGGCCCGAGATGACCTTCAAGGCTTTTGGTGATAACTGTAGCTATGTCAAAGTAAAATGAGCCAGCAGCTTAAGATTACTCTGAAACTGGAGGTTGTGTCAAGTTCTGATTAGAATTATATGAACGTAAAATGTCGTGAGATTTGAAAATACTCACCAATGTCACACCTGAAATCACTTTTACAGCCAAACAATGTAAAACATAACAGAGCACCAAAGATGAATAAGGCTTAATATTTATTATAGTTACGTGCTCATTGTGAAATAAATAATGAATGCATTTAAAGACATTTACACAACATATGTTCATAAACAATAAACACACACAGTGGATAAAATTTGTCTTTTACCCAAACAAATATTAAAGCTAGTCAAGAGTGTCAAGTGCCATCGAAATAAGTGTGAACTACAAATGACTCCACAGAAGGTGGCGTATATAACAAAGTGTTCGGATTCTGATGATGAGTGCATAGAAAATCTTATAAGAACTATTAACTACGGTATAGTGGCTGACATGTTTCTTAACAGACACCACACCAAGAGACGAGCACAGACAGAAGAATAGTGAAGAATCGGGCAGCTGAAGATGTTTTCATGGGTTAGAGCAGATGTGGGAGAATTAGGTCTACTGTATGTAAAGAAGAAAAAGCATTTATGGTGCTCTAGGATGAGGTAACATCTCAAAATAGATATTAAAAAATCTAAGATTTTTGTGCATTTATGAGTAGATCACTTCTGTTTCTGTTATTAGTTTCTTGTAAATTTGTGTTTCTCTCCCCACAAATGTTATTTCCATTAGCTGCACAGATCACATTAACGTGAAGATATATGAAGGCCTATTATGATAAGTACATAAAGGAGTAACTTCTTCCTGAACATTACTTATTCACCAAATTACTGGTGGCCTGTCTGAGGTTAGAGCGAACTTTTGTTTTAATCTAAATCAACTTTTTTCTTTTTTTAAATCGGTGTAACAAACAACCAAATATTCTCCATGAAGGGGCTAGGGGTTAACCAAACACTGTCCTTAACCATACATGGATTGCTGTTTATTGTGGTGTTACTGGAAGTTTGCTGTCTGATTACATTTCTAAAGTTTCTGAGGTGACCTTTTATCTATGAACATATAAGAGGTCTGGGTCGCTGCACATACTCAAACACATACACTGTTTGATTGTTTTTATACCACAGGACTTCTGTGAGTATAAATATTATCTTCAAACTCCGGACTGTAAACCCATAATTCTTTAAAGTGCGCTCTTATTGGCTGCAGTCGGCTGACTTGTTGTTTCGTATGCAGTCATCCTCCTGAGTGACCGTGAAACTTTGACTTTGTGCCGAAGCGAATGCCGCCAATTCCTTCTGTATGCTTCCCTCTTCGGACTGCTCGGAGGTCCCAGGTACTGTAAAAGTTTTTTCTGAAATACTTCTTGGAACTGCAAGACACAGATAAGAATAAAGAGTTCATTAAACAATGAGGAGCTTAAGGCCTCCAATACAGCTGTTAGTTTGTGTTATGTGGTCACTGTTGCTGATTTTCTGTTGCTTCACACAAATTGTGCTGGATCACCACAGTACCAGAGAATTTCCCCGGCTTGGCAATACTATTGCAGAATTACAAATCCAGGAATATAAATATTCATCTCATAAGGCCAAAGCTCATAAAGCGCTATACAAATACAGGCCATTTACCATTTATAAGTCTTTAGTGGCTGTAGTGCCAACTGGTTGTTTTCCTCTTTCATGACTTTTTCTTTGTGGCTTTTGTGGTTTTGGATTCAATAAAAGGAAACTTTTTTGTCTGTGGCCAGTTGAAACCATGTCTGGATTTGCTTGTTAGGCATGTCTTTAACAGTGACAGGTGTGTTAGAGGAAAACAACACAATAAAACAAATACAACTCCCAATCCTGATTTTCTGGCTTAGTGTTGATATATTTATTAAATGGTAATATTGAGTCTGTCCAACATTCAGTAGGTATATGGACATATTCCTGCATTCTTATACAAAACACACTTATATGAAAAAGAAGGGAAGTGTTTTTCACAGCTCTGAAATAAACATATTTTTTTCACCATCTTTAGATATTTAATCAAAAATGGAAATAGTTGTGGATCACATGCTTGCAGTACTACCACAGACCACTGAGAGAAGACTCCACAGTTGGTTTACAAATGTTCTTTGGGATCTAATGTGACCTAATTTGGTAAAGGTCAGGAATGACTGAGGACACACGCTTCACTGTATTTTATACAATGAGCCAGTTAAGGGTAAGGCCCAGCTTTTTTCTCTTTGATCCAGTATAATCAATCCTCTGATAATGTCAAGGCCAAGTGTGAACTTAAACAGCACAGTGGTGCAGAGTCAGCACTATCACTTCACAGCAAGAAGGTCCTGGATCAAATGCACTGCAGATGTTCTGGCTTCCTCCCACAGTCTGAACACACATGGCGGTTAGGCTAAGTGGTCGTTCTAAACCGACTGTACGTGTGAAGGACACATGATAGGTTCCCTCTCTGTATCTGGCCTTTGGGTTGTATCCTCATGTTTAGCCATGAGATAAGCTCCCACCTTCTCCCTGTTCTTCTGAAGTGGATAAGGTGAAGACAATGGATGGATACAAGGTATATAAACTTATTTAAACAACAGAGATCTTACCAAATTTGGCTGTGTAGTGGCATGTACTGTTGTGGATGGAGAATATGTGGTCTGTTGGCTCCTTGGTTTAGCACAGTACATCTCAAGGTGATGAAGTTCACAACCTGATGACAGGCAACACAGATCCACTATCCCCTTCCCTCTGGACCGAGTGCCATAACCAGACCACAAGCCTTTACCTGCAGAAGAGAGACGTGTCACACACTACGTTCTTCTCTTTCCTTTAACTATCAATAGCTTTACAGTCAAACAAAATCTCCTTTACAGAGTACAGTGGTGCTTAAGATTTACTGTGTCCCCTTATGTGGCCATAACAACTTCCTCCTCTGCAGAAAATAAATGTGCTCGGACAGTTTAGTCATTGTTGAACTGTCGTGGCTGCGGCGCAGGAGGTAGAGCGTATCTGCGGTTTGATCCCTGGCTGCTGCAGTCTGTGTGCCAAAGTATCCCTGGGCAAGATGCTGAACCCCGACTTGTTCCTGATGTGTTCATTTGGTTTAAATGTCTGTGTGTGTGTTAAATGGATAAACACTTTTCTACATAAGAACGAGTCCATTTATTATTTTTATTTTAACATAATGCACTACCCAACTCTGAAAACACCTCAGGACACATTCTCAACAGGACAAAAGTCATGTTAATCATCTATACTGATATTAATGGGCGATCGTAGGGGCGTAAAGCGCTTTGGGGTCCTTGGGGACTAAGCCAAGTGCTATACAGATACAGGCCATGATGTGTTGGGAACAAAAAGATGCACTGAATTCAAAGACATCCCAAAAACCAAAGTGAAAAATATATGGCGGGCTAGTTCATTTAGCCGAAATTTCATTGTAGCAACTCAAATTGGTACTATCGGATTTAGGTCAGGTGCTTCATCCTCTAGCAACTATATGTATACTCTCACCACACGGGGAAGCTAGGTCCCACTGCACCAGCATAAGAGCTGACAGTCAAGAGTGTTGTTGCCTAAGCTGTAGAGGTCTGTGTGGCCCTCCCATGCTTTCCCAGACCATCACTGACCCACTACTAAACCAGTCATGTGGAACGATGATGCAGGCAGCATTCTCCACAGCTTCTCCAGACCCTTTCACATCTGTCACATGTGCACAGGGTGAACCTGCTCTCATCTGTGAAAAATACAATTCTGGTATTCTATGGCCAACCCCAGGGGTACCCAGCTGTGAGCACAGGGCCCACTAGAGGAGGGTGGCTCTCAGGCCCATTAAATCCGTTTTGTCACTTACCAGTGGCCTGTTGACCTGCTCTTTGTAGAGCTCTGACAGTGCTCTTTCTATTCCTGCTTGCACGAAGGAGCTGATACCAGTCCTGCAAATGGTTTAAAGACCATTCTGTACCCCTGTCCAGCTCTGCTAGAGTAAATTGTTAAATCTGTTGGTGCCAGGTATTACCTCACGCTACCAGTGGTGACATTGACCTAGCCAAAGGTATAACAATACCATTCCCTCTAAGCTTTTCACCAAGTTGACGGATCTAGGACTCAGCTCATCACTGTGTCAGTGGATCCTCAACTTCCTCACAGACAGACCCCAATCAGTGAGGGT